CCCCAAAACCCCAAAACCCCAAAACCCCAAAACCCCAAAACCCCACTTATCAAATCGGAAACTGAATAATAATTTATTGTTAGTGTAAGTCATCACAAATTCATCATTCTAGGGGGCTGAATCAAAATATTCATCCCCATAGTCTGCTGGATCTAAGATTTAAATCCAATAATTCTCGAAGTTAGTATCTGGCTGTAACAACTTTTAATGAGTTACTTCCGGTGTTAAAAATGATCATTAAAGTGCTAATAACTTTATTCAGAGCTGTTCAATGAGACAAGACGCTAAGAAGAATGATAACTTGCAAAGTAAGACAAAATTTCTGATTATAATATTCAATTACATGAATATTATGCATTCTGAGACTTTACCAGAAAATTCATGATCTAAAATTTGATGTCTACTAAATTCGATAGTTTTGCTAATATCTTTTTTTAGGAAAATCCAGAGCTAAGTCATCAAGTTTTAATGATGGTGGCATGGAAGTCTTAAAGGAGTGGCTGGAAAGTAATCTCGATTATCCTTACATTGAGCGCTCAGATATTTTAAAAATTCAGGCCAAAACCACTCTGACTAAGAAACAAATACAAGGCTGGTGCACCAATATCCGAAGGGTAAGTTTGGATCTAGTTCATTGTTATAGAGACGGATGACAGTTATAAGAGACAGCAATGGAAATAAGAAATTGGTTCCTCATGAAAATCCCGAGAAGGTTAAAATTCTTTATTTTTGATCTGACTTTTCTTTTTAGAAGAGACAACAAAATAAGCAAGGTGAGCGTGTTCCAATAATCCTGCTTAATGATTCTAATAAGACCATTGAAAATGCGCCAAAACGTGATGAGGATATTAGCAAAGATTCAGCATCTTTAAAGTCTGCAAAAGATGATAAAAATGATCATCATTGACACCCAATTCTAATTGAGCAACCAAAAACCAAGGGAACTATAAAATCTTCTAAAAAGACACCTCAGCAATTCTTAATCACCAGAAAGAATTCTGCGACTTTTAAAGGCTCTCTAAGCACCCGAGAGCTTTCAAAGATTCTTTGCAGGTATTGCTTCTGTGAAAATTTACACTACCTCCCTTTGTTATTAACAATATCTGAAATCAGGTAATCCATCGAGAATTTTTAATAAGTATGAGTTATTCATTCAATCTGTTGTCTGATAAAAGGGGTTTTGGGGTTTTGGGGTTTTGGGGG